CCCATAAAACCCCCCATAAACCCCCGTTCCCATGGTCCGATTATGCTGGATCGCGAACTCGTTCGAATAAACGTAGGTTTACACGTTTGTACCAAATTTCATCAAAATCGGATCATTTTTGCTCGAGTTATCGCGCTAACGGACACACACATATATATATATATATAAATAATTAAATCGGGAAGTAATACAGGGCAAAGTTATTTCACCAGTAAACATGATTGCCGATTCTCTGTTTTCTAGATGTAATTAGTTGTAATTTTAATGGTTATGCCAATCACTCAGTTATATATATGAATTTGAACGGATGGTGTTTTTGGCCTCTAGGGACTTCAAAATGAAAAATTAAATCGGTCTCGGGTCCAGGTCTTACCATGAGTACTACGGTAATAGCTTATGCTTATTCCCTATATGGGAAATTTGCTAAAAACAATCGAGATGAAATCCATTTTTATTGTTTTTATTTTTACGGTTGTGATGAGCTTACAGATAGTTTTTACAATGGTGAATCGTTTCATTAAACTAAGCGTTTGGCAAAATAATTAAAAACTGAAATTCTATACTAAAATATCTATATATATAATTCTGTAAGACAAAATTTTTTCCAGAAAATTGTGGACGTTTGGTAAGTCGCAGAAAATTGGGAGGGGTCTTAAATTAGAGGTCTTGACCCCAGGAACTCGGGAAAAATAGCAGAATCCCCATAAAGTTACCAGAAAACTAGATATAACGTAAAATATCCACCATAAGAAAACCATGGGGACTGAAAAACGTCTGCATTCCTATCAGCTGTTACTTATTCATTTGCAATATTTACATTTATTCCGAAAGTCAATGTTGTTCAATGATGTTTCAAAATTAAATGTTTTTGTTTGTTTTATTTTGTTTTCTGTTTTTATAATGAGTGAAATTTATATTTAACTATACATGGTAGGGGGAAGACCTGCAAGACGTGAAAGAGTATCCAGGAATTCAACTGACACAAGAAATGCAGAGAACGTCATGTAAGGCCTACCTAGAAATCCATAAAGCTGGTTTACAACCTGTGTTCAAGAACGCTGGAAAATGAGTTGAGTGTTGTTTCTCACAATCTAGGTCCTCTTAACAGCACTTGCATGCATTGTGACGCATTTCACTTCGCAGAGGAGGCCACAAATGTACAGTTCAACGCATGTTGCCACAATGGACTAATTAACATGCCACAACCACAAGTAAATGACAAACTAAAAGAAATGTTTTCACATGATTATAACTTCATAAAAAACATTAGGCAATACAACAGTGAACAGTGCAATGGCCTTTGCGTCGCTTTCCGCTATACAAAAAGAGATTCCGGGAAAAAGGGCCTTACTGTTTTAAAATTCAGGGACAAATTCATAGATATATTTCTGACTAGCAGAGTACCCGTCCTTCGTACGGGGTTGGAATATAAGTATAAAATGCTTATTGCAGTTATACTCAAGCTTTGCAATTGCAATGGGTGGAGGACACAGTTTGATAAAATTTGCTTTTTTTAAATTTACAGTATTCTATAGTATTACACATCTACCATAGCCATAATGTTCTACCATTTTACCTAAACAATAGAGAAAAATAAATTATCAATTCGCAAAATATCACAAATTATTCATGAAATGAAAAACATATACATAACTGTAAACAATCCTACTTTGACAGTTCTCATTGCGAATCACAGTTTTTTGTTGCTGCTTAGTTCAAATTAGCTGTTTTCATAAATGCAAAAAAAATATAGTGCTGCACCCTGTTGGTAAATCTTATAACTTTTTAATGCTTTTCCATATCATAGAACCAACTTTTTTAGTTGAAACAGCTGACTAAATTCTTTAATTCCCTTTAAATATGAATACTCATAAGGTTAACATGGGAAATTACAGAGCCACTGGGGCGGAGCCCGAAAGGATTTTTGAGATAAGAATATGCCTATATGTTAATCGGGAATGTAAGCTATCATCATGTCAAATTTCAGCCCAATCCGTCCAGTGGTTTATGCGTGATTGAACTTCAAACAAACAAACAAACAAACACACAAACTTTCACATTTATAATATTAGTAAGATTTACTGCTGTGAAATGGGGAGTTGCCTTCATATGGACGATTGTGTCTAAATTTAGGGCTTACAGGGGTGTTAAGCTTACAGGCCACTAGTTATTCATGTTTGTACAAACAGGCCTAGGTTCAAATTGTTTTTACACGTGTAAATTTCACAACTGGTAGACTTTTGATGCCATAAGAGACAAAAAACTGTACATTTTTACCCCTTGGTATTCAAAGCTGTTTTGAGTGGTAGTAGGCCTATACACGTGTCGTACAGTGGAAAGATTATATTTGAATCTTGTCTTGTACAACAGCTGTGGACATCAAAAATCTTTTGAAGGACGAGTAATAGGTTTTCTTTGACATACAAAAGACCTGCCAAGACCCCAAGACATACAAAGATGGAAATGTGAGAATGATAAAGAGACACAATTTAAGGAGCTTACAATGAGTTAATCTGTTGACACCAAACAACAATTTTAGATCCTACAAAAACTACATGAAAGATCCATTGTGCAAGGGACATGTAAGGGGTTTTTTTTTAAGTAAGGGCCGTTTTTGCATAGCCCGTAGTTCCTGTGTACACTGCTACGAGGCGGCACGCTGTTTAGTGGCATCATTGGTGAACCAAATGGCTCCATTTGCAGCTCTGTAGCTGACATGTATGCTTCGCTGTGTGTCTAGAAATTATTGAATCTCCCACCGCATGTGAGAAAAGGTCAGTCAGTGATAATACGTTTTTTGACTGCAAGAAATATAATACACTGCCGACATTCATCACCAGATGACTGAAGTTCTTAACCCTAATGCAATGAATAAGGGCCTAGTTAAGTGTAGAAAATGGTTAGGGAGTATAAAAATCAGGACTGGATTTAGCATTTTGGCACCCCTAGGCCCAATAATGTTTCTGTACACTAGGCTGGTTAAAGTTATTTTCCTACAAACCTTTATCAAAAAATTATATCAGGCCTATATGTTAATTGATTAAACAAACACCAATCTACAGTTTTATCATTTCAATTTTTTGAAGAATTTACTTTTCTGCCCTTAACTATAACAAAATGCCAGCTTAAAAACTTTTAGCAATTTTATGTATAAAACAGTTAGCTTACGTTTGTGGGACTGAAACAAAACGATCTAACCCGCAGACCATTCCTGCAACAAAGCATGGCCAGGCCATAAATGCCGCTGCAGTGACTTCAAATTCTTAGGCAAAAAAACACGAACTCGGTAGGTCAAACCATAGATTAAATATTATACTTCCTTTGTAGATTTGCATCCTTATGGATCAACTGAAGACAATTCCTGTTATTTCAGTTTTTTTATCGTTTAACCAAATAAAACGATCTAATCATAAATAATCTAATCGTAGCTTGTCTTCTGGTTATATTACAAGAAATTAAAAGTCAAATAAAAAAATTAACCCTTAAATCATAAAAACAAAATTTTGTCGACACTAGCACCCAGTGTCACCACATGAACTAGACATGAAAAAAGATAATTAGATTTAACTATGTGATGAGAAGTCTGCTTTGGTTGGTTTATACTGGTGATCGGTGATACTATATCTAGATTATATTCGCAAAACAAAATAAAGCAATATATTTTGATCAATCATTACCGATCCTCAGGTCTGAGAAGAGAGAATTAAAATGGCGCTTTGGAGAGTATTGCATTTTATCAACCTATTTTTAACTCTGATTAATATTTTTTTCTAATTTCAAAGACAAACTCGTCTTTTTTTACATTAAATACAAGGAATTATATATTTTTAGTTCATCCTGCAGGTTGGAAGTTATTACAAGATTGGATGATAACTTTCGTTTTGCGAGGTGAGGGTGGTAACATTGTCTCGACAATAACATAGCATGCGCCCCTAATCACTCAGCCTAGCACTCTTAGCAGTAGCAGCGCCGAGCCAGCACAGTGGCAGTGGCAACTGGCAATACGATGCGTACCGCTCGACAGTAACGAAGTTGGTGCGTAATGTTAAAAAATAGCCGAACTTTACAACAATTATTTGTTCCAATGAACTTCAAAATCAGAATGCTTTATATGCCAGATTATTTAAATCAATTTGCAAAATATGTTAAGGTATGTCTATTTATTTTTATTTGTGGACGTTTTTACACATATTTTACGTTTGGCCGTGCACCCCTTGGGAGCTCGGGCCTATTGGAAAATCCGGCCCTGATAAAAATAGGTGTGAAAATGTTTATGATGAAGAACAGAACACTATGGCCAGCATTGTCGAGGCATTGGCTTTGAAATTGGCTGGGGAGATTGAGTACCTGGTGATTCAGGGATGATGTGAGATTCCCATGTTTCGTCTTCAGTAACCATTTGAATCAACATGTCATCCCCTTCTACCTCAATAGCACATAAAAAATCCAAAGCCTCGCTAAACCTTTTTCGTTTGTGGTCTTCTGGGGAAGTCTGGGGAAGTCTGGGTAGGTACTCACCAAAACCACAATTCTTTCCAAAATTGCCAATTTTAAACTCCCTAATCCAATTTTGCACTTTAAGCCTCACTCATTGCATTAGGGCTTCAGTCACTTGACGATGAATGTCTGCAGCCGATAACAAAAAAATGTAAAAAATGTATCATTGACCTTATCTTACATGTGGCGGAAGATTCAATAATAAAAAAATGTATTAACACAGAGCAAAGTGTGCATGACAGTTACAGAGCTGTAGATGGCACAATTCTGTTCACCAATGATGCGAGTGAACAGCGAACCGCATTGTAGCGGTGTACACGTGAACTACGGAGATATATTCAAAAACAGACCTTGTCTTACTTAGTATTATAGAATTAATTATAGTAATTAAAGAAGATAAGTTATAGTATTCTTTTGAGTTTTGTATTATGTTTTCATTACCCTATATATCAATGAACTAGTACTTTACATTATAATTAACTAGTCACATAAGAGGTACTTACCATAAACAATTTATGTAGATCCTTTACTGATTTGTTCTCAATCTTTCATCTATGTTTGTTTATAATTTAAAGTTAACTCCTAAGCACTTAAATTGCACCCTAGATATTTGTTGAGCTTTTTGCTTAACATATTTAAAATAATTAGATAAAAACACTGAAATAGAAAATTTAATAAAACCAACTTTAGTTGTTGACAAATAATAAAGCCATACAGCTGGTGGTTACAAGCAAGCTAGAAGGTTGACATGACAACAAGAACCAGTAGTTTTATTGATTGTTTCCATTTCCATGGCAAAATCATATGTTTGGTCCATGTTTGTTTGTTGACCATTTGAATACACAATTATTCTTCCTCTGGATATGGGCAAGGCCACACTAGAAAAACATGGGGGTTTTCATTAATATAATTTTAATACTGTAGTCAAAACAAAATACTGTGGTTATGAGTGTTTTATATGACTGAGTTTATGACGTCATAACCAGGAAATGCAGTGGGTGCAGACGTGTCCTCTGAGTTGAAAACACTTCTTTAGACACCTAAATCAATATTAAATGGTAAAACTTTATATATATGGCTTGCACACAGCCCTAGATGTCGGACTAATAGGCGTTTTTGCACCAAACTAGGTGTTTTTGTGAGATTTTTCTAGTTTCTTTACTTTATCTTTAGAGTAAAGCATATAAAATATGGTATTTTTTTAAAGCTCTTTAAACGTTTTACAACCCTTTCTATAGGTTGTTTCTGATATATTGTATCAATAAAACGTTGTTAACAAAAATAACACCAAATTATTTTAAAATACGGGTTTTAGTAAAATTACAAAAAATGTACTAATTGTACAAGAAATGTCTAACGGTAAGAAAGATAGCATGTAAACTTATCTTTCAAACAAAAAAAAGTTTTATCCCAATCCGACAAATAGTATGCAAAATATATACTTTAAAAGAAATCCTTTGCAGCCATATTGATGACGTCATAGCCTGAAAACGTGGGGGGTAGGAGGTAAACAACCAGGTTTTTTTAACTCCCTAGACATTAAACTAAAAGGTTTTGCAAGAATATTTAGTATACACAAATTGAAATATAAATCTAAAAAATTATCAAAATCAGCATAACTAGCTTAAGTTCCAGTAAAATGGTTATTTAAAGTGTATGAGTTTGCCTGATCTTAAGACAATTTAAAATACAATAAATATGTGTGGAATTCACCATTTTTTAACCACTTTTCAGAGCCAGCAATACTACAATTTTAAATAACTCAAAGATAAAGCTAAAGAAAACAACACAAGGTAAGTGTTATGCTGTCACTTGTCAGCATAAACAAATAGAAAAAATACCTAAAAACAATGACTATTATCTTAAGTTAATCAACATTAAGATCAACAATATAAAAAATATATAAATTATATAATATATACTGTATATTGATTTGAATGAACAGTATTTTTTTTGCTTTTAGGACATCAAAAACAAAAAAAAGTAAAGTGTTCCCTGGTCCAGTTCTTACCCGCTCATTATTTTCCATATGGGAAATTCGCTAAAAGACATGGTTTTGCTGCTTGTTGTTTTGCCAGTCATACTAAACTCATTGAAGATTGAGCCTGTTATTTACAAGGCTCAATCATCTACCGTATTTATATTTATAAATAAAATTAGAGTTTTGTCTGTACATTGCTCAGAGTTATATATTTTTCTGGTTATTTTTAAGTTTTATACATTAAAGCCGAAAAAAAGTCTTATCTCAATTTCTGTCTTTCTGTCTGTCATGGCCCAGAAGGCATTTTATGCGGCCTACTCCAAGAAAACTAGAGTACCGATCATGATTCTAATAGTTCAATTGTATTTACAGGATTGGCGAGTGTCTTCAGCAACTAAAATATGGCCTCACTATTTTGGTAATAAAGTATTGGATGATCAAAACCCCAATTTTGTGTGATTTTTGTCAAGTTTTATCCCTATGCTTACTTTATACGTCATTTATGAAATACTAATCATCTGTTTAGAGAATACGTCATCTATGAAATTACGGAATACTGTTTGGATAAAGATTTTTTTCTAGCTGTCACTGATATGTTTTCATTAAATGTTGTTTATGAATACTGTGTAACAATTTCCGATGATGTTTGTAAGAAAATCCAAAATTTAAGGGAGATTAATAAACGTGTGGCTTACATAATGGTTTGATTGATCGCAAGTATAATAATATGTAACTGTAAATAAAACTAAATAACTAGCCTTCATCGAGGTCGGGAAGCGGAGATTCTGTGTGTATCAAGTTGTAAGCCTACTGGAGTTTGGATAACCAGGGAAAAGACTGTGAATCAGTGTTGTACAGGACTGGGAAACTTACATTTTTTAAATTATCGTTGCCAAAAGCCTACAATCAAGGTTTCCACTCATTAACTGCGTTTCAATTACACTGGGTGATCGTGGATGTTGCTGCGATCTAGGAAGATCTTTGCGATTTTGTTTTGATTATAACAATCACTTTTCCAATATGTCACTTTTGGTTTCGACCCACCGCTATCGCTGGACCATACCACTCTAGTGTCTACTCTTCCTTCTAGTCTTTACCTTCATGTCTGTTATTTATTAATAACTAAACATTTTACATATGTTGAATTATTATTGTTAATTTTAGCGAATTTCCCATATAGGGAATAAGCTATTACCGTGGTACTCATGGTAAGACCTGGACTCAGGACCGATTTTTTTCCCTTTTGAGGTCCCTAGAGGCCAAAAACACCATCCATTCAAATTCATATTTATATTTTAGCGAATTTCCTATATAAGGAATAAGCTATTACCGTAGTACTCATGGTAAGACCTGGACCCGAGACCGATCTAATTTTTCATTTTGAGGTCCCTAGAGGCCAAAAACACCATCCGTTCAAATTCATATATATATATATATATATATATTTATATATATATATATATATATATATTTATATATATATATATATATGTGTCCGTTAGCGCGATAACTCGAGCAAAAATGATCCGATTTTGATGAAATTTGGTACAAACGTGTAAACCTACGTTTATTTGAACGAGTTTGCGATCCAGCATAATCGGACCATGGGAACGGGGGTTTATGGGGGGTTTTATGGGGTAAAAATGGGTTTTTCCCATTTTTCAACATAAAAACAAAAAATTTTGCGATTTCTTTCTAAACCGTTTTGTAGAGCTTAAAAAAAGAAATAATTTAGTATATTGAAGCGCTGTTGTATGCCTAACGGTCACGGAGAAAATTCAAAAATAGTGTAATTAAAAATTCCCATGTTATTCTTATGGAGAACATGAAAATTGTTGTAGTTTACTTGTTTATGGGTATATATTGATAAAATTTGGCAAATTTATTTATTTCATCCTATACTATTGACGTATGGTCAAAAAACACTTTTTACCTTCCCCGTAGCAGCAAACCTAAGCACTCGTTAAATCTAATGTTACAGTATTTAAATAGGGAATAATATGTCTTATTTATGGAAATATTTTAGTAAAAATGTAATCAGACGAGTTGAAATTCGCTTAGTCTGCAGGTTTGCTGCGGCGGGGGTATTTATATGTTTATTTATTTATATATATATATATATATATATATGTGTTCGTTAGCACGATAACTCGAGCAAAGATGATCTGATTTTGATGAAATTTGGTACAAACGTGCAAACCTTTATTCGAACGAGTTCGCCATCCAGCTTGATCGGACCATGGGAACGGGGGTTTACGGGGGGTTTTATGGGGTAAAAATAGGTTTTTCCCATTTTTGACCCAAAAAACATAAAATTTAGCAATTTTTTTCCAAACCACTTTGTAGAGCTTAAAAAAACAAATTATTAGTATATTGAAGCGTTATTATGCGCCTAATGGTTACGGAGAAAATTCCAAAAAATTGTAAATTTAAAACTCCCATGTTATTCTTATGGAGAATAAGTCAACTGTTGTAGTTTGCTTGTTTATGAACGTATTTTGATCAAATTTGGAAAATATTTTTATTTCTTACTAACTATTAACATTTTACAAAAAAAAACAGTTTCACCCTCCCTGATGCAGCAAACCTAAGTACTTGTTAAACTAATTCTATTTAAATAGGGAATTAATGTTATATTTTTAAGTAGACATTTCAGTGTAAATCCAATCAGTCAAATGGAAATTCGCTTAGTCTGCAGGTTTGCTGCGGCGGGGGTATTTGTTTTTATAAACATTCCAGTTTTTACATTGTTTTTAATAAAACTTTTAATTCCATTCAACTATTGATTTTTATCATTTACTTCATTGGTGACCCCTTATAAGACAACATGAACATTAATGAAGATTTGGATACCCAAGAAATAGCCAACTTGTCTATAAAAGTTCCTCAATTTTGGAAACCTGACCCAAAAATTTGGTTCGTTCAAATTGAAGCTCAATTTCGAAGATCACGAATCGTCTCAGATCAAGCCAAGTTCGACACGGTGGTAAGTTCTATTGACGCTGATATTCTATCTCAAGTCTCTGAGATTGTCACGGATCCACCAGCAGAGAACAAATACATAGCTATAAATACCCCGCCGCAGCAAACCTGCAGACTAAGCGAATTTCCATTTGACTGATTTGATTTACACTGAAATGTCTACTTAAAAATATAACGTTTATTCCCGATTATAATAGAATTAGTTTAACAAATACTTAGGTTTGCTGCATCAGGGAGGGTAAAACTTTTTTTTTGTAAAATGTTAATAGTTAGTAAGAAATTTTCCAAATTTGATCAAAATATGAGTAGGGTAAAAATGAGAGAGCTAGCACCACCGTGTTATTAAACGGCTGAGAGAACTGGCACGGGGAGAACGTACATGGGTGAGAGAGCTGGCACGGTGAGAGAGCTGGCACACGGTGTCGAAAGTTTCCGTCGGCGTGTCGGGGTGGACGGTTGAGAGAGCTGGCACCGCGGAGGCTGGCACACGGGAAAGGTGTCGGAGGTGTGTCGGTTTGGAAGGGTGTTTGTTACCTGATGTCGGGCGTACGACAAGATGTATTATAAATATTTTTATTTAAAACTCGATTTTTAAGGTGGTAACGTTTGACTGACAAACGCTTCTCGCTTCTGCCATTTAGTGTTGAGTGTAGATAGTTTTCCAAATGTGTGGAGTAAATAGAATGTTAAATTGTTAGCCTTATGTAAGAAATAATGGATAAATAATAATATCTTAATAAATTAATTTAAAAACACTTATGGTGGACTTAAAAGCGCTTTTATGGCATGTCATTTAACGATGACGTTGTTTACCATGAAAACAATTTGTTTAATAAGGATATTTGTAC